TGGGTGTGGGTGTGGGTGTGGGTGTGGGTGTGGGTGTGGGTGTGGGGTGTGGGTGTGGGGTGTGGGTGTGGGTGTGAGTGTGGGTTTGAGTGTGGGTGTGGGTTTGGGTGTGGGTTTGGGTTTGGGTGTGGGTGTGGGTGTGGGTGGTGTGGTGTGGGTGTGGGTGTGGGTGTGGGTGGTGTGGGTGTGGGTGTGGGTGTGGGTATGAGGATGTGGGCGTGAGTGTGGGTGTGGGTGTGTGGGTGTGGGTATTGGTTGAAGCAAGAGTTCCAGCCACACCACCACACCCGCATCCACACCCACACCCACACACCCGCATCCACACCCACACCCACACACCCACCCACACACGCACACCCACACCCACACCCACACCCCGTGTTGCCAGATGCTAAACTTGAAAATCCAGATTTCCAACTTCAAAAGGCGAAAAATTCCGGAATTTTTTCTTTCTGAAATTCGGAAAAACTTCAGAAAGATTTTTTAGGATTGGTCTTGATTGCTTGACGTGCATTTTCCTCCTCGGATAATCAATAATGTTATTCTTTATCTTCACAAAATATATTTGAATGAAACAATAGAAAATAAAACACATATCAAGTGTATTCTTTTCAGAAATTTAAATTCTTCTAACCATTGAGATCTGCATATTCTTTTTATTTCTCTTGTTTATCTTTTTGTTTTATATTAGTTTCAGTGATGTTGGGCTATGCTCTTGGTGATAGTTCATTTTCTACTAAAACTTATGCTTCTTCATTTTGATCAAGCGTTCATTCTGAAAATGTAAGGGAAAAATAAATGCTGAGTACAAATTATCATTTTATTTTACTGTCGTTGATGAAGAGGAAAGTCATTGGTCTTTTAGGTAAACCAATAGAAGACAGCACTAAACCTCTAAATCAGTACTAATTTGTTTAAAAATGTAAACCAATAACTGAAATATTATTAGGATAGATAGAAAGCATGGAAAATGTGAAAAATCGTAAATGTGTAAAAACTCGAAAAAAATCCAGAAACAATCTGGAAAATCCGGAAAAAAACCGAAATCCAGAAAAGATCCGGAAAAACTTCCAAAATCCGGAAGATCTGGCAACGCTGGTGCGGGTGTGGGTGGGTAAGTGTAGGTATTGTGGGTGTAAGTAATGGTAAGATCTAAAACTACACGCACACCCACATCAAATAGAAAATCCAGCTTTTACGTATCATGCTGAAACATATACAAAAGAAAAAAAATTTTCAAACATCTTTTTTCTGTTAATATGACGAGAAATAGCACTTTTCAAGGTATCTCATTTTGACTGTAGAACAAATCATCAATATACAGGAATAAGGTTTCGTCCGGGCATTACTTCTAGAACTTTTCACGGCGCATCTTTTAGAAAAAAATTAAGATTATATCATTGAGCCTTGGGTGGAATATATGTAAAACAAAAAGTGAGCAGGCATTTCGGGACACCCGGTATATGACAAGGACGCGGCATACATGAAATTACAGACATTAATGAAAATAACAACGAAACTGTCCAATAGAAAACAGTCACACAGGGTTGATTCACGTAGTCTGTGTTTGATGATTAGAAGAAATGATAAAACACCTATCGTGTGGGTTGTTTTCACTGATAAAAGATCCAAAATAAATAACGGAGAAAGCATATGACAAGCATGTACAGTGGATGAAATTACAGATACGAATGTAAAAAAAAACGAAGCTGTCAAATAGAAAATAGTCATACTTGATTGATTCAGGTTGCCTGTGTTAGATGATGACAAAAAATGATAAAGCACCTGTCATTTGATTTGTTTTGACTGGGAAAAAACCCAAAATAAATAATGGAGAAAGTATATGACAAGGCCATGCAGTAGATGAAATTACAGGTATGAATGAAAAAAAAACGAAGCTGTCAAATAGAAAATAGTCACACTTGGTTGATTCAGGTAGTCCATGTTGAAACGAAAAGAAAAATTAGCAAAACTTATAAATACTATACCCCTTGCAGAGTTACTTCACACAGCAAGCATATTTCAGTATCACTTGGTAAGTGGTCTTATTTAGTTGTCGATATTTTTCACGGGGGAAAAAGTGGATTTGGGATTTTACAGATTCTAAAATCTAAAGAAGATTTTTTGAGATTTTTTGGGATTTTGTTCGAACTTTTGAACTTTTTATTCCTTGTCTATCATTTGAATATCGTATTTCCTATTGTACAGCAAGACCCTATCATCACGAGATACATTGACTTGATTAAATCAATCGTCCTCTCTCATTCACAATGGTGGCATTCTTAAAGACTTTTGACCAGTTCTCTCGTCAAAGTGTATGTAAGAAGAGGTCGCAAAACGCTCAATGTCTTCTATTTTTTATGAATTTATTCATACTAGAAGTTTCGTCACCTTTCGCTGTCATGTATTGAGTCCCCTTATGTATGGCTATCTCAAGAAATGCTAAGAATCGTATGAGCTAAAAAAAATAGTTAATCATATTCCAAGGGGGAAAAGCAAATTTAGGGATTTTTAAGTTTCTTTGAATTTTCCGAGTTTTCTCGCATTTTCTCAGGTTTTTTGTTGTATATTAGCATAATTTCAACCCGATATGCCATATCTCATCATTCAAATTGCCTGTTTTTTCTTCAAGATTATCTCGCTTCTTTCTCGCACTTTCGGAGAACGGCTGGTAGAAAACTATGTTTTTCAGACCAACTTGATGTCAATTAGTAAATGAAAAGTTATCATAGGCTTTAACCCTTTGAGAACGGGTGGTCCAAAAATGGACCACCTATTTTTCAGTAAAGAAAAAAGTGTTCATTTCACATTAATCTATTAAATATGTGAGGTCATTAAGGTCATAAACAACTGCATTGATCATTTCATACTTTTCTTTTCTTTCTTTCTCTGTCTCATATAAATTATTTTCAAATATTCCTTGTTCTTGCTGGAGAGGTACAATGACGTCATACTTTTTCTCTTCTCCTCTGATCTTTTGTTTTCGAGAATATTCTCATTCATTATTGGGCGTATATATATTGTCGTTCTCATTGACGAATTTACATTGTCCTTAAATTTGAGAAGCACATCATTTTTCCTTCTAACTCGTACTTGATTTCTTTATACCGTTTGTACCATTAAAACTAAATAAATGGAATTCTATGGAAATAATGAATTCAATGACGAGTCCTGTGATTCATCTGCTAGTGATGATACTAGCGAGAGTGACTTCGATTTCGACGAACTAGTCAATAATTTAGATGAGTTTGAACTCTCTGATGATGATTTCGATGCATATGAAGAGGTACTGCATTCAATAAATGCAATTTATGTCACACATGGTGGCATTACCTCAATTTCTCTCAAAGAGCTAACTCCAATTTCAGTCTTTAGAACTTTTTTTACTGAAGAAATTTTAAGTCTGATTACTGATCAAACAAACGTTTATGGAATAGGAAAGAAACAAAGTAACAAGCAGAAGAAAATCAGTAACTGGAAGGATGTGAGCAAAAAAGATTTTGTTTAAAAGATGAAAAGAATTGTTTTTTTGATTATCATAAGATTTTTATGTAGCCATTTTGATTTAAAATAAAATAAAAAGGTCGAAAAACAGTTTTTCGTTTAAAAAAAATTCCGTCTTCAAAGGGTTAATCAACGGATTATTTCCCTCAAGCAGATATTATAACCCCGATGAGCCAAAATGACCACTATTTTCGCCATTTTTTCCAACATAGTCGGTCCCAGAGTTCTGCAGAACGATAAAAATCGGTCTCACGTCCTGTGTCTCGTCTCATTTCATGCCTCACGTTCTACTCTACCCCGCGCTACTTCCCATTTTTCAGCCGCGTCCCGGTCTATCTATTTCTTAAGAATTGTTTCGAACTGTTTTATTAGCGTAACAGGATTTTTTCGATTAACAATGTTTGAGTTAATTGTGTTTCCCATGGATGAAATGTTCTTGAAGAGAAGTTATGAAAAACTATTGTTTGTTAGCTCAAAGGGAAAGATATAGTCTGGATGGGGCGAAGAAAAATCTAGTCCCATCCTGTTTCATCCTACTTCGTGTACTTCCTATTTTTCAGTCTCGTCTCTTCCTAGAAGTAGACAAAATTGTATTTGTCCCACGTTTCACTGAGTTCTGGTATATCTAATCAAACTGAGACTTTTTATACAGATTCTATTCACTATTCGTGTTGCAAAATCATTCTGAAAAAACTGAAATATCAAGAGCTCTGTGAAAAACCATAGTTTGCGACTGAGACTAATTTTATAAAATTCGATAAAAATCAAGGGAGAAAAAGCGCGTTTGGGATTTTGGGATTATTTCGAATTTCGTTGGATTTTTTTGGATTTCTTTGAATTTCTTTGGGTTGTTTGGATTTTCGGATTTTCTTGGATATTCCGATTTTTTCGGGCTGTCTTGATCTTTTAAGGTTTTCCCTCAGTTTTTTTGTTTGAAATTAGATTAATTTCAAGCTACCATCACCACTTTTTTTACATATGAACTACCTCATCGCTTTCTACAGCTACTCAGTAATATGTACTTGAGGTCTCTGAGGGCCTACCATACGACCAAACCATAGGTCCTCAAGGACTATCCTATGGAAGTACCCATCAGTCCGCATGGCCTATCTTACGGGGTATCCATAATTTCTGATCATCCGTCGTATGGGGTACCCATAAATTCCCATGGCCTCTACTATAGTGGTACGAATAAGTCTATATGGTCTATCTTATGGTGGTACTCGTAAGTCCTCATTTTCTATTCTATGGAGTACCCATAAGCCCTCATGGTCTATCCTATAGGGAAATTCATAAGTCCTCATGGCTTATCCTATAGAGAACCCTTAAATCCTTATGATCTATCCTATAATGGTACCAATAAGTCTGTATGGTCTATCCTATAGAAGAACCCATAAGTCCTCATGGCCTATTCTATGGTGGTAACCCATAAGTCCTCATGCCTTATCCTATAGCGGTACCCGTAAGTCCTCATGGTCTATCCTATAGTAGTACCCATTAGTGCACATGGCCGATTGATGTTTGGTATAGTTAAGTTTTCAAACACTGTCTTACAGTCCCCCTCGGACAAAAAAAATTGCCTTTTTCCACTTCACTTTTCCATTACTTAATACATTGTATTAAAAAACCTAAATATACCAGAAGATGCAGCGTGAAGAGGACTACAATATACAAAGAACAGGTTTTTTTTATAGTTGCACTTTTTCCTTTCAAAGTGAACAAAATTTTGAAGCACTAATTTTTAACGCTTCGAAAAAAATAATAATTTTTTGGTACACGACGAATTCGTTATTTTCTTATTTCATCTTTCTATCACTTGATATGTTTTATGAAAAAGAATACCAAATACACCATAAGATGTAGTTTTTCACTCTGCATCTTCTGGTATATTTAGGTTTTTTAATGCAATGTATTAAGTAATGGAAAAGTGAAGTGGAAAAAGGCAATTTTTTTGTCCGAGGACGACTTTAGAAAGTCCAACTTAGCGCTGTGAGGGTGAAGTGCTTTTGTGGGCGCTGTCTCTTTCGCGGAGTGAGGTAGTTTCATCGGTGTGGGACATATATGCTGGCGATTTTCAGGTGGAGCGTGACATGTTGCATGTCATTCGCGGATTCTGACACATCCATAGGAATATCTGCAGCCCGAGTTGGAATGTCAGAGGCGTTGGCAGTGAAGCTGCCTGTATCAGCGGTGATGCTGGAAGTTTTTTCCTGGATCCTGTAGCTCTCTTCTGCCGTCTCAAGAGTCATTCCGTGGGTGTTACGATCTTGCCTAATCAGTAGTGTCGCACTTGAATAGTGGGTTCAATTGAAATATCCCGTTCGAACTATCTTGGGTGTGGAATGTGAGTGTCCGTGTTTATAAAGGCGGAAACTACACGCACACCCACTCACACCTACACGTACACCCAACCATACCCACTCACCCTACCACACCCACACAAACCCACACCCACCCTGTATATACGTGTTGTAGTATCTAACAAGATTGCCTATAGAAGAGATGATTTTTTTCATTGTTCGATTTTATTTTTCATATAGCAGTCGTCCTTATTACTATCAATTTTCATTTTTCTCGTTGAATATGTATGTGTATGAATAAATAGTGATTTTAGAAGTTTTCTTATAGCAGTAAATCATTTTTCATTATTCCATGCCATTTATTCTACAGCTATTTTCAGTATTCATATGAATTTGAAATTGAAAGGTAGCGTACCTTTAATGGGAATTCGAATTCTTTTATCATTTTATTTTCTTTTGACATGATGACGAGAAGCATTTTTGGCTTGAACTCCAAAATTTCGCTTAAAATTAACATTTTTGACACAGGTTGAATCGTTGGTCAACCCTCATCAATATGGGCGACGTAAATAATGCAAGTTTAAGACGTGTATCGATACAAAACTTTGTTTCGGAAAATATCAATGAAATTAAATTAACACTTGTACCTGATGATCATGGTCGAGCAAGTAATCAAGTAAGATAAAGATCACCAAAAACAAACCTTCTCTAGTTTTGCGTATTATTTTTACATAGTTAATCCAATTGATTAGTAAATCTCATGGAACAATTACATGTAAGCCGAATCAGTAACTGATCAAGACTTTAAAGAAGAAGAAACAATCGTGACCGACAAAACGTGTTCAGAAGTCTATTAGACAACCTGTCCAATTATTTTTGAAATTTCTTTTTAGCAAAAAATGCAAAATTTCCAATGTTTTTTTTATGCATACGTCATGAGCATTTGTTCTAGAAATAATCCTACGAGAATTTAAGCTAATGAAACTTTTTCGAAGGTTATAATCATTGTACTAGTTATTTGACTTACGCGGGAATCTTTGCAGTTACTTCCTTCGAATCTCAATGATGTTTTTTTATTCATGAATATTATATAGAATTCTAGTAAGAATATGGAAAAAATTTGAATTACTATTGAGATTTAATTGAGCTGTTGAATTTCTTCCTAGAGGTCTCTGGTTGTCGGGAAACTTGTATGTTCAATTTATGATATTAAACTTTACGTATATAGAGATGTCATCTAAACTACTTTTTGTTTTACAATAAAATGCGTGTTGTATACAGTATTTATACGCAATAGACTTGTTATTTGGAAGAGAATTTGTTTAAAAATATAAAAGCAACGATCTTTGGAAAAAATTCTGTTTTTCAACATTTTCTGTAAACACCTTGCATTCACTTGAAAAACGAATAAAACAATCATAGTTTTCAGAAGAACGAGTATTGATGCAAATTCTCTTAGGATTTTGCTTAGAATCATGTCTTCGACATATGAATAAAATAACATTGAAAATGATTTGGATCTTTTCTCGTATAAAAGAATTTTAAAATATTTCCAAAAATACGAAAATAAAGAGCTCTTCAAATAGGTTTCAGAATGTTTGTATTCATATCATCATTGAATAATTTCAAACCCTGATGATTGACTCTAGCATATTTACTGTCTGAAGCTTTTACTTTGAAAAATAAATGAGAAGAATATTTCTATTGCTTTTTTTGTTTAAGTTATGGATAATAAATCGAATCGAGCAGAATTTATTCGTATAGCATCTGAAGCTTCCGTTGAAAATGTCAAAGAACTCATTAATAAGGAGTGGTGTTTGAAAGTATGTTACATTGTTCTAAAAGAGAAAAAAAAGATCTAAGATGTTTAATGATTGATTTTATTTTGTAGCGACCATCACTTGCTATATCGGTTACAGGTGGTGCAAAAAATTATAATATGAAACCGAAATTATTGAGAGCATTTCGACGTGGTCTTCTCAAAGTGGCAAGCACAACAGGTAATGATATTCAATAATTTTTAATTCGAGTTACATTTTTAATATTATGACAAACTAATAGTGACGAAAGCAGCAATGGATTCAAATCATAATGAGACTATCCCAAGCTAAAATATTGCTAGTTTGAAATAACGTAAATTGTAGTTCAAATATAAGTCGTTCAGTAATAATTCTGAAAGTGAAAAACACAAGCGAGTGATATCAAAATAATAGGAAAACGAAGATTCATATTAGTTACCTTGCTTTCTTTATATCATTGATTGTCGCAAATGTCAAGGTATAGAGATCATAGTCAATAAAATATGTTTTGAGTTTCTTTAGAAGCCATATAGGCTTATTTTTCATCATTTACTCCTAACGAAAATCAAAACGTATTTTCGAAGGAAAAGACAATCATTTACTCTAAACTAGCTACTATAAAATATGTTTTTTTTTGGTTGGCTTGATCAAACATTATTATTTACGGTCATAGGTGATTATGACCTATTTGCATGTTTGTGTTTGCGAGTGATCGCTTTGCCAGGTTTTCATTCTGTTCAAATTCGAAATATAAATAAAGAAAGAATAAGACAAGGAAGTTAGAGATGTGCTGAGTTATCCTATCGTAGGATAAGGTTGAAAAAGTTTTTTCAACCATAATACAAATAAAAAAAACTTACGCCGCATGTCTCTGATACAAGCAAAAATAATGCTAGTAAAACATGTTTCTGAACAAAATAAATGATCGCTGTATTTTCTTCAATTCTTCTTTAAAAATTTACAAAACAGTAAAAAAAAGAAAAAGAAAAAAAGATCTCGTTTTGGTTTTTATGATAGTCTTAGCTTTTCAAATAAAGTAAAGGTTATAGAAAAGCAGTCTGATCTTTTGTGTTGTTCAGAATTTTACATTTTTTAAAATGACATTGTTAAAAATAACAGTCTTTATTGAAATTAAATGGTATTGAATCTAGGTTTTAAGAAATCTTGTCATCATTATTCATCTATGACATCTTGATAGAGAAGTTCATGGGCTGATAAAATCAAAATTGGTATCAATTATATTTATTAGAAAATAATCTTTATTGATTTAATTATAAAATATTTATAATTACTTAGTATTGTAAAAGATTTATTTATTAATTTTTTTGCGCGCTTTAAGGTGCTTGGATTATTACGGGAGGTATGAATGCAGGAATCATGAAACTTGTTGGTGAAATTGTTGATATGAATCCTAGCCATAGTCGTCCAATTCATTTAATTGTAAAATAAGACTTTTTCAAATTCAAATTATATATTATAAATAAATCATTTATCATAGGGTATTGCTACTTGGGGTTGTGTAGCTGGTCGTGATAAACTTAAAGTTCGTGGAGAAACTGTAGTGTATACGAAACCAATTACTGAAGAAAAAGGCACAACTCCTCTTGAACCTAATCATACAAAATTTATTTTTGTTGATGATGAAAGTGAAGGAAAATATGGTGGTGAAATAAAATTTCGTTCTCGTCTTGAACAAGTTATATCAGGAGATTTTTTTGGAGCACGATCTAGGGCAGGTTCTGGTATTGAATTTCAAACTTTAACAACACCATCTTTACATCCAGAACGATCAGGTTACTTTGAAATTTTATCTTTTGAATGATTATAGTTATTTTCATATAGATCCAGTACCTGTTGTTCTTCTTGTTGTTGAAGGTGGTCCAAATACTGTTCGAACAGGTATATGATGTTATTTGTTCGAAAAAAAATCAAATAAGAAAATTTCTTTTTCTTTTTCTTTTTCTACAGTTTATGAAGCTGTTTTTAAAAATAATATACCAGCTGTGATTTTTGAAGGAACAGGTCGCTGTTGTGATTTATTTGCTAAAGCAGTTCGTCTCTACGAAAATATCAAACAACTTGAAGATGCCGAAAAAACTTCACAGTATATAAATCATTTATTTTTTTTGTTATATATGAATTTTCTTTGTAATTATTATGCAGTCAGAAGTTAGATGAACATATTAAATCTGCATCATTAAAGTTTGTCATGATTCGTATGAGAAATATGAATTAGAAAATATCAAGAGAGATACTAATAAGGAAACTAGTCCAAATGATGCCTTCTTTTTGAACCTACATCAGATCTGAAGGCATGGCTTCGATTCCTTTGTAGATAGGTACCGAAAATCACAAATAGTTTTTTGTGACAAAAATTCAATAACTTCGCATCAACAATGTAGTAAATCAATTATAATTCAATACCAAAAATAAATGGTAATGACACTTTTCAAACTTCTGTTATATTTATTAAGATTTAAGCTAAAATAGCAAATGTTCCTCGTAAGCAACATATTTCATTATTAATCGAAACAAAGAAGAAATTCAGTTGAAAATGAAATCATATTTAATAGCAGTAATCTGCATTTTCTGTATGAAGAATTTACTGTATTATTTTAATTTTTTTATATCATCCCACGAATTCGTTTTTCAAGAAAACAGAAATTTTCAGCATATCTGTCATTCTTGACATAGAAATTCAAAGTTGCTAGCTTATATAATTATCTAAGTAATCATGACATACTTCTGATTGATCAATTCTTTTTAAAATTAACATTAGGATCAGGAAAAGAGTTCCGATTATTCTAAATTGAATACACAAAATATCTATATATAAATAAATTCTTTTGAATTATTTTTTACACATAGAGCTACTCAATCATCACGCGCTGAAAACATAAAAAAACAACTTCGTGAAGCACTTAACAAAGAGCTTTGTGAAATTGATCCTGTAACCAATGTATCACAGGCTAGTAAGAATAAAAACACATCAAAAAAATTAACGTCTAAAATGGAAACAAAATCCCAGGAAGTTGATTCAATTGATTGTTTTGAATCAGTTTATCGATGTGTTACTCAACGACTAAAATTTTTAAATATTGTTAGTCTTAATGCAAAAGGTCCAGTTGAACCTGATATTGATTTGGCTATTTTAAAAGCTTTATTAAAAGGTAAAAACAAGAATGAAGTATATGAATATTGGTTTTTTTCTGAATTGAAAATTTGTTATTTCTTTTTTTTTTTATTAAAGCTACGTCAGGTTCTGGCATGAGTAAAACAAATGATGATGAACGAAAACGTGAACAATTTCTATTAGCTTTGGAATGGAATCGTGTTGATATTGTAAAAAATGAAATTATGAAAAACGATGCAGATTGGGCGGTAAGAAATATGAATAATTCCATTTTAGTTTAAATAAAAATATCTTTTTTTTATTTTTTTTTCTAACTAGACGACAAATTTAAATGACTTCTTTGAAATAGCACTCATTAGAAGTCAAACAGAATTTGTGAAATTATTTCTTGATCATGATTTTTCATTAACTGATTTCTTTCGTAATAATGACAAACTTCCAACACTTTATAAAAATAGCATGAGCAAAGTATAATTAATTTATTCAATATGTATATTATTTATGATCGATTTATTGTTCTTTTCTGTCATCTTTATAGGAACATTATCAAAAGATTGCAGAATCTCATAATCCATTACAAACAATCTATAAATTAGTACTTCAACCATTAATAGGCGATTTTTTTAATGTTGCTGTTGCTTTACGATCAGAAAGAACTCCTTCTCATATTGGTATAAATCTTGAAAATAATCGTGATCCATATTTAGACCAAAATTATGCTAGTGAAGCACTTAAAAAACTTACTGGAAGTTTACTATCAGAAGGTCAGTTGTGTTTCTATTTTATAATTTTATGTTTAATCATCTTGAAAATAATAACTTAATTGTTTTATTTCGAGAATATTTCGAAGTCTGTTTATGAAAGCAATAGAATTTAGCATATACTTTACTTTTATAGAGGGTTTTCCCATGAAGGCTTTCATTCGAATACGAGATATGATATTGAGAATCTTCTTTTATTTTTGAAGTTCTCAGTGTCTTAAAACTTAGAGTAAAATTTTCTAGAAGATTCATTATCAATTTGATATTAGGAAGTGAATAAAGAATTTCTTTTCCTCATTCACAAGAGAATAGATTTATCTATCCAGCAAAATAAAAATAATTTATAACGAACAGTATTGAAGCGAAAAGAACAAGTGGCGTTAAGACCATTTTTCGATCCCAATACTTTTCGAAAAGAATTACATATTTGGAATCAGCATTAAATTCTGAGTAAAATGACGTATTTTTTATGAAAAAAACCGCCTTTCATTTTTCATGAGTCCTTCAGCACTTGGTGGGGGACCTCAGAACCATCAAAAAAAAATTTTTTTTCCGAATTGTATTGAATTTAGTATCATTAGACGCTGATTCCGAATCTTTGATTGAAATTTGAAAAAACTGAACTTTTAGAAGATAAGAGACTGATTTATTGTAGGAT